TATTTATTAGATGATATACTAAAATGACGATAATCTAGGATTGAGATGGTGGGACCGAGATGCCAACCTAATAACGCGTTTAAATTCATGTCATTTGGGAACCAGTGAAAGTAGCACGTCGGAGCAGTTGCCATGAAAGTACTTGTAGAAAAGGCAGAGGGAAGCCACAGAATGTCTGTAAGATAGTGACTGTAGACGGGATGCCAGATCAGGAATAACCAGGTTGCATATCCGTCTCTGGATTTTGTCTAGGACCTCGAGATGACCATAAGACCCAGGCAGCAGTGGGATGCCTAGATCGAAATGTCTCAAAACTTCCTAATGGCAAACATTGAATATTGGAGCTGTCTGTATCTCATCATACAAATTTGTCGTAAGAATTGCAGGATCAATTTACAAATACATGAAGATTGACCAAAAACTAATGCAAAGGTTAATGATTTAAATGGCGAGACATCCATCACCAAACAATCAGATAATATATAAAAACCTCCGTATCCGTTATGAATGAAATGATCCTTGTTTATATAAATTTCTGCCGTATTAGTTCCTCTCGTCTGAAATGTCTTCTATAGAAAATGTTGTTGTTGTTTTTTTCTAGTAATAAGAGGACAACGAAAATATATGTATTGTTGTATCCGAAAAACATTGAAAATATGTTTTTGGAGCGCAAAAGCAAGCTGAGTTTGATTTTAAATTTTTAAATATCTCATATAAAATATGGTGATGAACAAATTTTTTACAAACGTTCATAAACCATATTGTTAAGAATTGCATCCAAAAGCACTTATTATCCAAAAGTCGCACTTTGGATTAGTTATTTAAATTACGATAAACGTATACATGAATTATTCACAAATATAATATATATATATATATATATATATATATATATATATACGGCAGAAATTTATATAAACAAGGATCATTTCATTCATAACGGAAACGGAGGTTTTTTGTATATTATTTGAATTGTTTGCGATGATGGATGTCTCGCTATTTAAATCATTAACCTTTGCAAATACATGAATTATTATATATATATATATATATATATATATGAAAAAACAATGCAAAAGTTTTAAGATCAGTTTAAATGGATAGACATCCATCATCGTCTTTGTCATGTTGAAACAATTATATTTTATGAATATGATGAAGATACAAAACCTCCGTATCCGTTGACATATTAACATTAAAACAGCATAATTGTATATAAGGATTTTTGTTTTTTTTTATATATTTTTCTTCATACTGTCGGATCTATATCCATATATTATATATATATATATATTATATATATATATATATATATATATATATATATGTTATAAAGATGACAAGGATGCCTTTTCTCGCCGAATTTATTTATACAGCAAGACAAGCCCAAGAGAACTAGAAGACCTAACGGGATTTATTATCTCATAATCATAACAATATACAATATACTTGTTTGTTATAGCATTTTTCTCTTAGTAATGTTGGTCTGCAGTTGAGATTCGTCTTCAAGAGGACAACGAAAATATCTACAGAGAATTTTTGGCCGAGCCTACGGGTCCGGACACCGCACATTAAATTCGGCCTTGTGCCACATTTGACCACGTGGGGCGGTTGGTAGATATCCTGCATTTGAGACTCTTTGTTCAATTCTCTTGTCTCCCTTCTAGCAGTTGACTACTTCTACGCGTCGCTGGCGAATCTTATATGTGCTGTTCTTCTCTTAAGTATTTTCGTTCATTACCACCCTTCATATGATTATTCTATTCAGTAACCTTCCCTAGGTTACAACATTTTTTTTCATTCGTTTCACCCTAAGTAAGGCAATAAAGTCACTAAGACACAAGAGGTTACTGAATGTTAAAGAATATGAGAAAAAAACTACTATTAAGTAGAGAGGAGAATATAAGAACAAGAATTAAGAAGACAACGATTGACATTGCATTTAAACTTCTGAAGATCAATGTTGACTGGAAAGTAAAAGGCCGGAAGTGAATTCCACAAGCAAGAAGTGCGATAGAAAAAAACTGCTAGCATATAACTTACGGTTACATCTAGATATTTCAACTGTGAAATGATGAAACATTGTCGCCAATTTAGAACTGCACCAAATTTACTAAAGTCTAGGTACCAGAGCGGAAAGTTTATCAAAACAATTAAAATGAAAGTGATCATAGAAATATTTTTATGTCCTCCATTTACACTCTCAGAATAAAATAATTCCTTAAGATAATTACTTTCCAATAAGATGCTTCACAATCACTACAATCTTAATCTTTTCCAGTCTAGGGTCAACCGTTATCTATCCTACATATCCTCACAGCCAGTACTTACTTCATCTTCTTACGTCTATACTACAATCTCATTCCTCTACCTTGAGTGAGGATGCTTCCGCAGTCAATATAATCTTAACCTTTTCGTGTCTAGGGTCAACCGTTATCTATCCTACATATTCTCGCAGCCTGTACTTACTTCCTCCTCTTACGTCTATACTGCAATCTCATTCCTCTACCTTGAGTGGCTCTTGGACCTTATATTGTGTGAATATTTAGTAAAATAAATAAATAAAAAATTCTGGAAATTTGTGCATCCACCTTACCATTTAAATTCCGAAATTAAATTTCCCAAAAGGATCCCCACCGAGGATATATTTCCCATGTATACAATGACCCGGAGTTAAGGCGACATAAGTTTTGAATTAAAGGACGGAATTAAAGTGAGAATAAATGTTAGGGGATAGGCTGGGCTGGCCTGGGCTGGGATGATGTGTGGTGGGGGTTGCCCGTAAGTGGCAAAAGGATTCGGTGAGGGGATGCGAGACATTAACGCTAATATCTCGTTTGTTATTCCACATACCTTGTCAACGTTAGGAAAAACATAGTATCCATCAACGAGCTTATTATACAATCCCTCATCTCGGCCCGACCCACTCTTCCCTGGGTGGGTTTCTCAAAAGTAATGAAGAGACGGCGGTGGGACGAACGATAAGCGCACGATTGTGCGACATGAGAGTTGTAGTTAATACCAACAGATATTAAAAAGCGATATATATATATATATATATATATATATATATATATATATATATATATATATATATATATATATGTGCGTCCTTGGGAACGTGAATTATGATTTTTGCTGTGTCTCAGCAAACCCAGTAATTTTAAAAGTTACTCCAAAATTCGCTTTCAGCTTCCATTTTTTGAAACATAGTTAGAACTGTGTAGCGAAAAAAAAACATATTTTAAATCAATTAATTTATAATATATATATATATATATATATATATATATATATATATATATATATATATATATATGTATCCTTTCTCCTCGCATCTCCTTACTTCTCATTCTCTTTTCACTGCCAGTAACTATTTGCGTCCTAGTGGCATTATCCCTTTGCTTGAAGTGACTTGATTATATATATATATATATATATATATATATATATATATATATATATGAAGAAATATAGTCTTAAGATGTGCTATATTTATGGGATAAAGCGCTCAATATCAGAGATAGAGCGTGTGTAAATATAAAAGTGAACATAGAAGTCGACACTTAGAGGTGACGGTCTGTTTCATGATATATGCAATCATCAGGCCATGACGATTGCATCTAGCATGAAACAGACCGTCGCCTCTAACTGTTGATTTCTATTTTCACTTTTATATATATAACAAAAAAAAATTTAAAAAAATGATTTTTTTATATTCTCCAAAGAGTTTTGTGTATAACTAAAATAAACACTAAGCCTTACAAAAATGAATTTCTCTAAAATTTATAAAAATTAAATAAGTGATAGATTAAAAAAAAGTATTTACCAAGATTTTCTAAAAGAAAGATTTCTAAAATACTTTCATTCATTTGTGAAGAAGTCCTGGAGGTTTCATTAAAAACCGAAAGTTATTTGATTTTAGCAAGAATTTCAAAGACATTGTGTCTTTCATCAAAAAAAAAAAAAAAAAAAAAGCCGGGAAAATGTCCTATACTAATTTATGGACCCACGCTGAAGCAAGAAAATCAAGTATTAAAAAATTTAATTTAATAATCGAAAAAATACTTTGGTCTTTCCTTTTAATAATAACATAAAGCCTTTTAAGATAAAACTTTTTTATTAGGCTGGTGTATAATTATCAGGCGTTTTTAAACAATATTTATTATGAAAAAAGAAACATAATAATTCATCAATAACATTTTTAAATGATTATTCCGGAGCTTATGATTAGCGACATGCATTCTTATAACCTGAAAATAAAATATTTTTATTAAAAAAAGTAAACGAAACAGCAATTTTTATTAATAAATAATTCGCCTACAAAAACGCCTGATAATTATGCACCAACCCAATATTAAGTTTGGGGCATTTTTCATCATGGTATGCTCATTTTTAGCGAATCTTTGGAGGTACTTATAATAATCATGACAAGTACAGTAGGTCGAATAAAAGAAGGTATACTCAAAAGTATTGTTTTACAGAGCGGAACTCATTCTTTATTGCCTGGTGAACAATTTTGGGACAGAAATCTTCCTCATCTCACACATTTCTTTCCTTTATCCTGACAATTACTTTGCTTGATCTATCATTGATAACATATTGAGCTGGTTTATCGGCACATCACCGAGTAACGAGTCTCGTAATTCATTAAGGACCAGACGTGCACTGCAGCTATAGCGGTAGGAATGGCTTACGTTGAAACATCAGATCCTGTACGATCGCTGATGCTAAACACTGGCTGTCTTACAGTCATCCATTTAAGCAACGTCGATCCTGATCAGTGCCAAGATGGGTGACCGCTTATCAATACAAGGTTCTGTAAGCTTGGATGTGTCAGTTGTATGGCTTGCGAGCACAAAACGTTGAAACAGCAGTTCCCGTACAATCACCGAAGTTAAGCAACGTCGATCCTGATCAGTGCCTAGATGGGTGACCGCTTATCAGTAACAGGCGTTGTGATCTTGGGTGAGCCAGTTGCATGGCTTGCGAGCACAAAACGTTGAAACACCAGTTCCCGTACGATCACCGAAGTTAAGCAACGTCGATCCTGATCAGTGCCTAGATGAGTGACCGCCTATCAGTAACAGGTGCTGTAAGCTTGGGTGAGCCAGTTGTATGCCTTGCGGGCACGAAACGTTGAAACAGCAGTTCCCGTACGATCACCGAAGTTAAGCAACGTCGATCCTGATCAGTGCCTAGATGGGTGACCGCTTATCAGTAACAGGTGTTGTGAGCTTGGGTGAGCCAGTTGTATGGCTTGCGGGCACGAAACGTTGAAACAGCAGTTCCCGTACGATCACCGAAGTTAAGCAACGTCTATCCTGATCAGAGCCTAGATTGGTGAGCAATTGATGTGCGGGTGGTGTAATGGATAATAGCCCGGAATTGTTAATCGGAGAGCCGAGTTCTAATTCCAGTTGAGTTCGTTATATTTACTTACGCATACATTCCTTTGGGAAAGGTGTGAATCCACCTCTTTCCCCTCAACTAGGGATTAATTAGTAAGATTGTATTAATAAAACTATTATTATCTCAAAAAATAAAATAAAATGGCGTACAAAATATTTAGATTTAGATTAAATAACCTATAGATGTACCGCTATAGAAGGACAACCATGATAACAGCAGGAGTATGTCTAGGGTAATACAGCCATGTTGTTGTTTTTTCCTTCTCTTAGACTAGTTGCCAGGTCAGAGCAAGAGAACCCAGTCAACACTACTGTCTAATGTTATTTAACGTCTTGATCATGCGGTCAGACGTTTAATAACATTTCACGCATTCACATACGTACGAACGCTTACGAACTTCTCCAAAATACGAACGTTTACACACACACAAATGTTAACACACAAACATAATGTTAACTGTCTATGAGCTTTGTAATTTGTTGTTAATATCAAATATTTGTTTATATATATATATATATATATATATATATATATATATATATATATATATATGAAAAAAAATAACAAAAAAACAAACAAAAAGCAGATAAAATTATGCTGTTATTTAATTTGATAAGTCAACGTCGGACGTTTCGGTCTAATTTTTCATGTTGTATTGATAATGTTATAATTTATGAATATGTCCTGAAGATGGTTTATTAGAACAAAACGTCCGACGATAAAATATTAATATTAAACAGCATAATTGTATATAAGGATTTTTGTTTGTTTTTTCCGTATGTTTTCTTCATACTGTCGGATATATTTGCTTGCATATATATATATATATTTGCTTGCATATATATATATATATATATATATATATATATATATATATATATATATATATATATATATATATATATCAGTCTTGTTTGTTTGTTGGACTTAATCCAAGTCCTACATTTTCATATTGCAGCTGGACCTTCTTCTAGCAGGAAATATAAACGCACGTGTTTTCTTTTCATCTCCCCGCCCTCGGGCCTCTACAGTACCATTATGGGTTATTGGCGGGAAGGTTCGACCTCTACTAGTGAATCAACAGCAACCACATCTGACGTTGTGGTAATAAAGTAGGGAGAGCCATGGGTGTTAAGTTCTTAACCCTTATTTTTAATTCTTCATGCATATTTGTTTCCCTGTTTACATTCGTGACAAAAGCATTTAAATTGGAACTGAAGTTCCACTCAAGTAGCTTTTTTCCCACGAACCGCTATTTGTGGAACCAACGCCCAAGAGGATGCTCCCCCGATCATTACAATCTTAATCTGTTCAAGTCTAGGGTTAACTGACATTTTCCCAGCATATTCGGTTCTAGAGATTATTGGCTGCCCTGCAAGGGTGTGCTAAACAACAGCAAATCCCCAATCCCTCTTTTATTAAATCAATTCGAACTCCTGACATCTAGAGAAGGCGAAGTTGAATGCTTTGCTCGGAAATTCTCTTCCATCTCAACACTCGACTTGTTTGGAGTATCCACACCTGATTTCCCCACTAAGATGGTCTACTGAGTGATACGGGTATTACCGCTCACTGGTCATAGATATCATTTCTAAATTACACTCCCATAAAGCAAGCTTAGGTGACGGGATCTCAGCCATCGTCTTAAAGAAATGTGCTCCCGGCTGGCTCCCGGCTGGCTCCAGCCCCCTTCAAACTCTACACTATTGCCGCACTGCTTTCCAGCTCGTTGGAAGTCCTCCTCTGTAATTCCTGGTTTTTAGAACTCTGACGAACCTTCTGACTCCTCTAACCATCGACCTATTAGTCTCCTACCGATTTTCGGCAAAAAATTTGAGGCTTTAATCAATGCTGGAGTGGTTAAGTATCTTACCTCTCACAACCTACTCTCTGACTAACAATATGGCTTCCGTTTTGCCCGGTCTACCGCTGACGTGCTAACGGCCATTACTGAATATGTATATCAAGCTCTTGATAATAACGGCAAAGTTCGAGCTTTGATTCTAGATATCTTGACACGCTGGTCTTATATGTAAGCTCCAGGGCTACGATAGTACTGGACGATTGTTTGATTTAATCCAATTGTTCCTATTAAACCGTGAAATGAATGGCTCGCTTCCAGTTCCTTTCACACAAACGCGGGTATCTCCCAAGGTTCTATCCTGGGTCCTATGCTGTTACTGATCTTCATCAATCAACCTGAATTTACTTTAATATTTGTATTTATAAAATAAAAGAATGTATAAACATAAAAATGTCTTAAAATAATTGTCGGACTTTGTCCATTTTATATCTATCGATGTTTATATCTAACTTCAAATGTGTTCAATAAAAATGTCAGCTTTTATATATTTTGCTATCTGCATGCGTTTGCTTATATCTATGATGCCTATGCGCTTGCGCATGCGCATGCGTCTTGAGTAGGGATGATTTTATAAAAGGAAACCTGAACTGTGTGTTTATTATTACTTTTTTCTTTCTTCTTGTCCAATGGCAATGTTATTTCCTTTTAATGATTTTGTAAAACGACCATCCACACTTAACCGACAATCAATGGTATTCCTTTTTAAAAATACTTAAAGTGTAAAGGTTAGCGATTCAGAAAAAAATAATCGGCATGGCGGTTTCGAATTCCATCTGAGTCAGTTATGTTTCCATTTACAGAAATTTGCTTGAATCCATTTCTTCTCACCCCAGCTAATAACTGAAACTGAGATATGCAGAAAAGGCATGGCATGTGGAACTAGAACAATCTACTCCGATGGACGAAATAAAGAATTCGGTTCGAAATTCCCGCGTATATCATCTGAAAAAGGCCGAAGAGTACAACGGTCAAAACGCCGTGAATATGGCAATAAAGATGAGGGCAACAGTGAAAACAATGTAAATAGTTACAATACTTCATCTCAGAAATATACTACATCCAACAGCAAGGCCTCCATCAGGAGCTTTTGAGGTGCGTGGAACCAGCTTTTAATTGCTGGTGTTCCCAGGTCCACCCTGAACCGGGGTGGTAGCACCTGTTAGGGTCCCGGCTATGAGTAAATAGTTAACCCCAAAACTGGGGTCAAAACACTATGAAAGTGTAAAAATATGTTTCAATACCAGTTGAAAAAATATTAGCATCAAAAATATTTTTGAAAAATATTTCCAGCAATAAAAAAAAACAAAACTTGTCGGCATTAAATGACCCATTGAGGTTGATATGCCGTAAAACAAACCAAACAAAATCAGAAATATAGATATATATCTACATATTTTTAAAAATTGTACCATATTATCCACTAGAATTTCGTGCATATATTTTGCTAAAATATTTAATTTTTAAAGTGGTATGGAATGTCCTGTGAGTATCAAATTTTCCAAGCCCTCTTTCCTCATTATTTCACCTAGAAAATTCAACTGTATCTTCCTGATGTTATGTATAAGTTTCCTTTTTGTTTATATTTTCTCTAAAACTTCGTCGTTGCTCTCATGTTCGCTCTGAGGCATCCTCAGCATCCTTCTGTAGAACAACATTTTTATTGCTTCAAGTCTTTTCTTCGTCTGTGAAGAGACTGTCCAGCATTAACTGCCATATAGGAGGACTGGTATGATGTAACAGTTCAGTAGTCTTTTTGTTTCTAACAAAATTTTCCTGTTTCTTAATACTTTGCTTAGCTTTTGGAATGCAACTTTGGCTATTCGAATACGCCTTCAGATTTCAGTGTCGCATTTTGCGTCCTCTGTTAAAATACTTCCCAGATATTTAAATTGTTGGACTTGTTTGGTTTTGGCATCCCCAATTTGTAATGTTCATGTTGGCCTGTCCTCTTTTGCTAACAACCATGCATTTCTGTCTTCTTGCAGTTAATGTTTAAACCTTTTTTCTCACTTTCCTTCACCTGGAGGAGTTTTTGTAGTTTCCTTTCCATCTCTGCTCTCAACACTGTGTCAGTGACATATCTTATATTGTTAAGATTGTAGCCACCAATAATGAATCTTGATAAGACTCCTAATTCTCTCAGAATCACCTTACTGTACAGGTTGAATAAGTCTGGCGAGAAGACACATCCTTGTCTTACAACCTTTCTATTTTCGTATATCTGCTGAGCCCTTTTTCGTATTCAGGCAGTTTGCTGCCAGGATAGGCTCTTAATTATTCTAATATTCATCCCAAATATGTCAAGGTTATTAAGCAGCCCTTTAGTTGAGCTGAAAATCATGTAGCTGTTTGCTTATTGTCCGGTTCACTCTCCTTCCCAGTTTGAACAGGAGTAGATGTCTATCGCCTGTTTCCTTTTTAGGATTGGGTTTCCGGTTCCTTCTAAGGCCTTCTTCAACACTATACTTCTAACATCACCGACTGAACTCCGAAATGTTATTCATTAATTAAATCTTCTCATCTTCAAGTCTCGAGTTGGCCGTTATCTTTCCTGCGTAGCCCCCAAGAACTTCACTTCTTACGTTCATACAACAGTAATCCTCTACTTTGAATGGCTCTTGGGCCCTGAATTGGATGATCATTAGTATATAAAAAAAAGCTGGTCTCGAAAGCTAAGGATATTCGTTTGGCTCTTATCGTGTGAGTCCCCTGTGCAAAAATTGACTCTCAAACGCGTCGACTTCAATCTTATGCTCTAACCACGGAATTCTGTCAGCGAGTACATTATGTATGTATGTATGTATGTATGTCTCCATTTTTTTTT